CACATACACGTTTTCCCGCACCCCAGGGCAGATGTTTGCTGCTTAGGTGGAATGCTTATTTAATCCTTTGTGCAGCAGCAGACACTTTGATTTTCCTCTGTGCCCTATACATTGTTACTTGTAAACACGTCCTTCTCTGCTACATAGTGCTAGTGAGATCATCCCTCTACCCCCCATCCAGGTTCAGTTTAGTAGCATATCAGCATTTGCATGACCTCTTGATTTCAGTGTTTGCATACTTAAGACTTCTAATCTGATGAATCATCTGTTAGAACATCTGTAATCTTGTCACCTAGACCTACAGTGAATTTAAATTTGAAATTTAAACTCAAACCTTAACTCAGGATATTGTATTCTACCCAAGCCTTCCAGAACAGCAGGGGTTTGGAACCTGGGCCATGAACTGTGTTTGTTAAAACAGTTGTCTGATGTAGCTTGTCACATTCCTAGTTCTCAGCCCACGAGAAGGGATTATTTTTAAATGGTCATGCAAGCAGAAACTGCTAATCCCTTAGTACAGTTTTTGGATGTGATTGTAACATTACTTGTAACTGCACAATGTAGGTAGTGCTGTAACCTGTTTGAAAATCGTTTAATTATTGGTAGTTCTTAAGGTAACTTTTTAATCCTCTCCACGCTTAAGTGCTGCAGTACCTGTCTGGAGGTAATGAATAACCCTTGGTTATATTCTGATGAGTGATTGAGTATCTATCTATCTTAGAAGCAGTCTGTTGATGCTGAACTGCTTCTTTACAGTTCAAAAGATTGGTGTGTGGAAGGAAAGGGAAGCTGGACTTCGTGGCTGTCTTTACACTGAAGTATCTTTCCTGATGAGGTTCCTGAGTGGAGAAAAGGCAGGGGTAGCTTTACTTCTCTTGCAAGCTACAGTCAAAGTTAACCCTATATACCTCCCTCTAGCAACACGTTGGAAGCAAAAACTAAGTTGCTTTGTCTTCATTAAGAATTTGTATTGATCTAGTTTTCATGAATCGGTTGTGCACAAGCATGTCATTTAACCTTTTATACTTGGGCAAGTATAAAAGCAAACAATAGCCTATAGCAAGCAACCTATAGCAAGCAATTGAGTCATCAGTTCAGTAATGCCTTTAGGAGTCAAAGGTCCACATTCTGGATACTGCAGCAAAACGAATGTCTGTTATTAAGATCTGTAACATTAACTTGGGCATGCTGCATATCATGTGAAATCTGAAATTATTATCTTATGCCCTCCTCTGCCCTACACACCACCCCTTTCCCTGCCCCGCTCCCCTTCCCCATACTCCAAAAAAATAAATCCTGTAGTTTTCTTCAGACAGCTCCTTATGGGGTAAATTCTTTGGCAACCAGAGCAGTTATATTTTTGGTCAAGCCAAAGCATTGCTAGCCTCATGGAATATGAGCTATTGGATCTTCGTATTGAACTGCTATTCTTTTCACATTGAAACAGGGTGGCTTATGTTGCATGGGATCAGGGTGGCTTATGTTGCATGGGATTCAGATCAACTGTAAAAAGACTGCTGAGAGAGGGAACTACAAGAGAGTTACAAATACAGTCTTGCAGCATAATTAGGCGGTGCTTAATGGGATAGTCTGCTTAATTAGGATACCTCCTAGGGAATTTAGGCAGTATAGCAATGATGAATACCAGTGACTGCTGCTTAATCAGGACAAAACTAGCTTAAAAGTTGCTTTATAAAATGGCAGTGATGGACATGCCAATAGTGAAGTGGTGCTTTAGTCTCAGTTAAACAGGAGTGAAATTCTGGCTTGACTGCATGTTTACTCAGTACGTTCCATATTGACAGATCAAGTAAAGATGGAAATGCAGTGAATAATTTGGTTTCCCGCCCCACCTCTCTTTCTGAATATGAATACTTTATTTCACTATAAATCATTAGGCTGCTTCAGCTGACATAAGTCTAGCAGGGCATCATTCTGATGGAGCCAACAGTCTGTGCATTAGGCTTCCACAATAAAAGGTGAGCTGCAAACAAAAATGAAAACTACGCAAAATTCAGAAATGAGCCCTGAACTCTTTAACTGTCCAGGCTTTGAGAGGCAGTCAGCCCAAAAGTAAGTTTTAGTTGCTTCTTCTGTCAAATATCTTGGTACTAGGATGTCACAGAATAAATCATTCTGTGGCTTCGGAGGTATCATGGGTTTCAGTGAGACATGCTATCTTCAAGGGTTATGTTTTGTGATATATTCTTTGGGACGAGAACATAGCAGATTTCAGAGGGACAGAAATCTTGAAAAGGGTAGTTAACTTATTAATTGCTACTTAGCAAGTTGTGTTTGAAGCAACTTGTGGGCTTACCTCAGATTTTTAGTCTTGTTTGACAGCCTTCTACTTCTGGCTTTCCTAAGAGATTTCATTCAGCAACAAGATATAATGAAAGAAAAATAGGGCTGGAAGGGACCTTAAGTCATCTCTGCTGACTGCATTTTACAAGAGGAGGAAGCACATCAGTTTGACCCAGCTCCCCAGTTTCTGATTCAATCGGCTATTAGATAAAAGCACCCAAAAGCCCTGCTGAAGCGCATGATCTATACAAACGTTGAGTGAGCCTAGTCAGACTAATGTAATGCCTCTTCTGGGCATGCTTGGTGCAAGGACATGCTGAGCTGGAAGTAAAGCACTGGTTTGATTTGTTTTTTTCACCTCTGTAAGCAGCCCTAGGCCAGTCCCCTGCTTGAGGCAGCATCATACTTGACTAAAATGATTTAACCAAGTATTATGTCTGTCCTGCTCTTAACTTTTTAGGATGGAGATTCCACATCCTCTCTAGGTATTCTGTATCACTGTTTAACTACACTCGTAGCAAGAAGCTCTTCCTAACATCCAGCCTACATTTCCCTCCTTGCAATTTTAGACCTGCCTCCTGCAGCCAGACAGAATAATCTGCCACTGTGGTGCTCAGCCCTTTGCCCCTGTGGGTCAGGTGAGTGGCATAGGGCCAGTCTGCAGGCAGAATCGGTGCACGGGTTGAATCCAGCTTGGGACTGGCACACAGGGTTGGTCTGCAGGTGCAATTCAGCTGCAACCCAGCCTCATGCACCAGCCCAACTGTGCATGCAAAGCTGTGTCATCCAGCTCACGGGGCTCCCTATACATCCCAAAATCTGGGGAAGCCCCAGGGGCTAGATGATGTGGCCCCATGGGCCAGCAGTGGAACCCCACTGGTCTATCACCATCCTCTGTATAACCACCCTTTGTATATTCAAAGCCCATTATCAAATACCTCTCCCTCCCCTACCACTGGCCTCTTGTCTCCAGACTCAAGTTCTTTCTGCTCTTTCTCATAAGTTATGTTTTCTAGATGTAAAAAGTGGATTAAAGCACATCAAGGTTTAATAAAAGTTATCTTGATTATCCAATTTTTCATCGTTAATGATCACCATGTTGGAATTACTTGTTAGATACTGTAATTTTTCTTCTCGTTATTTCTTCTTCTCATATTTCGGACGTAACACTAGTTTGTCACTACAGTAGTCTCAAACCCATAAAGTTATAATGTATCGAGTTCTCTATTCCTTTCTGGCATTGTTTTTTAGGTCACTAAGTGGGCACTCTTTCACAACAATACTCTTCTTTTTTTTACTCCTCCACGCCTGATATCCCCCCCCCGCCCCCCCATTACCTACTTGTTCACAGTATAGCTCAGCCTTTGTATCTGAGAAGCCTTGAAAGTTGATGTTTCCCCCAGAGTAATAAATTATTTGCTGTGCTTTGCTTTGTTTGTGATATAATAGTTAATAAAGCATTTCCTCTTCAAGGGGTGTAAAGTCTCAGTGTTTGGGATAACCTGGCAAACCTTAAGGCCAACAGAATTTCAGGGGACCTGGACTTACTTTTATTTCATGTCTTTTCCCAAAAAGTTTTGCATTAAAGTATGACAGCAATCCTTTCAAAAGCACCTAAGCTTAGTCATTTCTGCATGTTACCAAAATACTTACATCTCAAGCTGATATGAGATGGAAACAATTTCTTGTGAACTCCGTTGTATCACAAGTGTGCAAAGGAGTCTTTTCTTTACTAATTCAAAATGAGGGATATCAGGGCAGAAGTGTAATGGTAGACATGTTTTACAGGCTGTACAAGGAGGAATTGCGAGGAGCAGCAAACTTGTCCACAGTTTAACTTGAGAGTTTTTTTCCAGTTCCCCTGGAAAGCCCTGTTGACCTTAGTGCCAGTCATGGGGACAGCCACTGCAGTTCAACACTAATCACAGGTTTTCAGCTTTCCCCCACTCCAGGGTGTGCTCAACAGCAGTTGCAGCTAGCAGTTGGGTAACTAGTAGAAATACCTTGTATTGGTGATGGACCACACATAACCTTTTCAGAAAAAGATGATGCAGAATTTCTGGACGATCAGGAAAAGATAATGAGAATAGATGCGCAGGAGGTTAAAATAAGTTCTATTATAACCTGAATAGATTTTTATAATGGCAAATAAAAACCGTCTGAGAGGATTACAAAAGCTATGTAGGGGAGGATGGAGTCTTTTTGTAATTTTTCATTTAATGATGCTTTCTCTTTTTCCATTTTTTTCTTCCATCTTTTAAACGGATCTGAAAGAACTTTTACATATAGTGCTATGTGCTGCTGAGAGATCGCTTGAGTGGCATTATTGATTGCACAGCTCTGAGCTGAGTTAGCAGATTCCACAGCAGGTGCAGAGGGGAATTTCCCACGAGTGGTGCTTTACTCCAACCAGCCTTGATGTTTTCAGTTGTCATGTGCCTTTGGGCAAGAGTTTGGCTATCCAAGCTAGCTTTTTCAGAAGGTATTGCACTGGCATGTATCCAGTGGCAGTGTGTTGATTAGACAAACAAGCAAAAAAGTCACAGAGACTCCCTATATCCCTGTTAGATCTTGATTATAATTTTGCCCTACTCAAGACTTTCCAACTTTGTGGCAAGATGCTCAAAGTTCTGATTCATAACAGATGTCATTCATGGGATTTTGAGTACAGGGGTACAGTTGACTGCTGATGTAAGTTTGAATGTATTTGGCTGCAGGCAGAAAAGTCACTGATCTGTTTTACATTTGTAAAGGGGGAGCTTTTTCTGTGTAGATGTCTTGCACACTGTAAAAAGCTAAAATGTCTTTTACAGCCAACCTTTATCTTCATTGTCTCGAAAGAGATCAGTTTTGAGGGGTAACACTTGGATTGAAAATTGATCTCTTACAAGATTGATCAGACTCCCTAAGACCTCCTGTAAGTCCTTCTGCTCCCCGCACCCGCCCTGAGTCAAGATTACAGTTCAGCCAGGTTTCTGTGATTGTCTAGCAGGAAAGGTATGGTTTCCATGTGTTTTCTCCTTTTCTTTCTTTTTTTTATAGCAGAAACGGATTAATAGGATGGATATAGAAAATAGCAACTGGTATACAGAAGTAAATTATTATATCTTCTCATAATGTACAACAAAGGGACACCCAATGATGTTGGCAGGCAAGATATTTAAGACAGATGCAAGTAATTGATTTGTTTATGCACCTCATTCACAACCCTTGGAACACATTGCCATAAGATACCAGTGAGACTGAGCATTTCATAGGATTCAGAAACAGGACAGGTACTGGAAATTATAATGAAATGAGTAATCATGGACACTTTCTTCAGAGCATAAACTGACCGCTTATTGAACAGGATTGACCCTGAGACCTTTTTGTCATTTGTTCCTGTTGTGAAAGTTCTTCTACACCTGAACCAACCTAATAGGTGTATTAATATTCTCCTCACTTTAAAAAGCAAGTATTTTTTTCTCCCATGTTGTTCTTCACAGTTAGAATTAATGACCAGAACGTTGAGAGAGGCTGCAGGAAAGTTCCTCTGGCCAAATTCCTTGGTACTCCATGCAGGAGTTAGTGTCCAGATAAAATTCATTTTGGATAATGATTTTTTACTCGGTTCTGTCTGTTCTTTACCTAGTGTTGCACTGAAATGTTTCTACCTACCCTGGGATAATGTAGGCTGCATGACTAACAGCATGTCTTAGATTGGGTCAGGATACACTATGGGCCTGAGTAGCTACAGTGCACATCCATATCTGTTGTCCCAGGATAAATCCTTAAAGGTTCATTTGATAAAAAGTACTAGTACTTTATCCCAGCACATTATGCATTGCATCTGAATGGCTATCCCAGGATTACATTGTTAAATCGAAAAACGGCAGTTTGTTCAACCGCTTGCTGCACCCCGATTAGAAGGGAGACGTGTATATGCCAATCCTGGGATATTTTTGTTCCAGGATAAAACACAAGCACAGCTTGTCCAGAGACAAATGTAGCGTCTGTTCCTAGTCTAGCTCATTCAGACCATATTACCAATTTCTGTATTTCATACTCTAGCTTGGGTGGGTAGTTTGTTTTGTTTTTTGTGCTTTTCTTTCTTGATGTAGAGCTCAATCTTCATCCTGGTCCCTTGGCAGTGAGAGAGATTTATTTTAGCACAGCTGCTCTTGAACTTAGATGTCTTCAGAGGTCCTGAGATAGTTATGACCTTATATCTTAGGACTGAGGGCTTTAAAGTCAGGGAAAGACTGTGAGATCCCTGTTCCATAGATTTCATAGATGCTAGTGTGAGATCATTGGGTCCAGCCCCTTCCTTTAACCAATCCTGCATTTTGCCCTGTTGAGAGGTAATGGGACATGAAAGTATAAAATAGATGATTGGTATTAGTGTCACTCCACCCTTCTGCTGGATGGCTTAATGTATCATGTGAACCAAAAGTAGAGCCACCTTTAGTTTCGTTCCAGTCCATCAGTGGGGACATGAGGTATGTCAGCACTCCAGTCAAAGCGTTAACTGTAGCTTATGCAGCTAGTTATCAAGTAAGTGTAAGAGTCTATCCCCAGAGAGCTCAGCACAGCTTAGTGGCCTGAATATTTTCCCAGGGCCCCAGCAGATTTTGCAGCCTGTGCTGAGCTCTGGGCTTCCACAGGCACCCTGTTGTTAACTGATTCAGCCTGTTGAAAGCTAGCTGTGGGTGCACTTGCACAAACTGTAGTCACACCTTTGATTGCAGTGTGGGCCTGCCTAGGGAGGGAGAACAAAAGAAATAAAGCCCATGTTGGGGGCAGGTTGGAGGTGGAAGCAGAAAAGATGGTCTAGAGTTGATGAAGATTTTTTTTTCTTTCAACTTTGTTAAATGAGTGATAGTCAAAATAGCTAGAGATTTTGTAAGTGATAACTTAAAGGATAGTAATGAAAGCTACTAAAACCTTTCTTACTTTGGGAGGGGATAAATCTCTTGCCACAGATGGAGATTAAATTAAAGCATTGGCCATAGTTCAGGATTTAGTCATGCTCTGAAATTTTCAGAGGACAGACTGACACGAGAAGATTGTGTTAATTTTGTTTGACTTTGTTTGGAATACAATGAACCTTATTCTCAGTAAGTAAAGACCGCCTAGTTTGGTTCACTCGCTTCCCCTGGTGCCGAGACGGTGCTTTTCTGGACTCCTTTTATTAAGCATGTTTAAATCCCATTTAGGTGTGCTAAACAAGACTGCATTTTGCCCACTTCTAAAACATAATTTAGCCATCAGAAGCGGTTGTGTTTTCTAGAGTACTGGCCAAAGGCATGTTTAGGAAAGAGTTTCCTCTGTTGAAATGCGCCCCCTACTTGGTTCACCATGGACAGTTCTAATTCTGCCTCCCCTTGACTGAGTTCTGGTAGAACGGAGCCTGCCATGTCTGCTCTACAAAAACCAGCCACATTCCAGTTACCCCAAAAGCTGCTGTGCAGCAGCAGAAGCCTTCCTTTCCATTAGCAGCGTTCCTCTACTTCTGCCAAGTTGAATGAGGTTTCTGTTGCTGGCCAGCAGCATGCCGAAGGTGCGTATGACACCCCTGCCCTTCTGCTGCCTGCTGTCATCCGTTTGACAGTTGGTGTCTTCCAAGAAAGCATTTTGCTGCCTGGCAGCAGAGCCGCTGAGCAGAGCTGCCAGCAGTGGGAGGGAGTGGACAGGTATTGTGGTGGTGGCTTGGTGGTAGTGGCTGCTGTGTGCCACAGTGATGGTGAAGGAGAAAGGAAGAGTGGAGCAGGTGAGCAAGGAAGGGATGGAGGAGGGAGTGGGAGAAACTGCGCTCAGGTTTTGAAACTTGAACTTGGATGGAAGTTTGTGATGCTCATAGATTAAGCTTTGCAGTAACACTCCCTCTCACTTATAATTTATTGTGGGAAGCCTTGTACATTTTTGGTGGCTCTTCCCAATAACTATAATTGTTTCAAGGACTTATTCCATTAAGTTGCATGAGATGTGGTTCAGAAGGGTGTTACTTGGGTTATTAGTATATTTGTCTGTGGAGATGTTTTATCTTTGTCTAGTAGATTCTGGATAATGTCTTGTCTCCACCTAAAGCGAATCTGGCATCTGTAACCCTGAAGCTTTTCCCTTTGCTAGATAATATTTTGGGGACAGTGCATTGTGGGGTTTCTCTTTACAAAGGAATCAATGTTGTCTCTGCTTCTTCATGAGGTGCATTCACTAAACAGGCTGGTGCCATAGCTTCCAGCTTTGTCACATTTGCTAAATTTCAGAGATCAGGTTTGTGTAGATGTTTTAGCATGTATGTAAGCTTAAATATTGGTCTTCTGTCATGTTAGTCGTAAGCTGTCAACCATTTATCCTCTCTTTTAGCTTTAGCATAATAGGTACATAGATGTAGAAGTTTTTGTTTTTGTTCATTTTCACACCAGTTCTTTCCTGTACTTTAGGTTGACTCCTCACTGCACTGTGAAAACCATTAGGAAAAAATCCTTGTGGTTAAAACCTGGGGCTCCACAGTGTTACCTGCACTTGGGGTAGAAATTAATTTAAATGGCAACTGATCTGTCTGAAGGTGAACCTGTGCATCATAAGGCACTTCCACTCTTAACGGGAGGTCAACTGATCCATGCGGACAAGTTAAGTGAGGTACGGGCTGGCCCATTCTCCAAGCTGGCCCTCGTCAGTCATTGACTTCCAGCCCTGCTGAAGGTTACTTTGTACTCTTCCTCCCTGCTTGTAGGAAGCTTGGTTGGGAGTCTAACAAAGCCCTGTAGACATGCTTCCTTCCCTCCCTGCTTTCCCTGAGATGTTCTGTTTGCTGTACTGCTCAAGCGCTCTTCTTGTTCACTTCAATGTTGAAGTGAAATTTTTCTCATAAACTGAAATAAAGGTGCAAAAGCATCGTCTCTTAATGTGCTTCAGAGAACCTGGTTTGGGTTTTACCTGTCAATTTAAAAAGCCGATTGAATCGAACTTTGTCCAGAAGATTTTCGGTGCATACTTTTTCTCATAGCTTCTACTTCTCTGCTTTAAGCCCGTTTCAGAAACTTGTCTGCATTCTCTCTGATACTTGTTTTAATGTTATTCTTTCTTGTAGAAGGTTGAAGACACCATGCCGATCCGTCGTGCTGTGAATTCTTCTGCCCGGGAAACTCCTCCCAAAAGCAAACCTGCTGAAGGTGAGGAGGCCAAACCAGGTAAAGTGAAGTGATAGTAACCGTGTACTGAATTACTAATGTATACGCAAACACAAACTTCAGTCCTGTAGCTCCTGCTTTAGCTTTACTGACAAATTTAAAACAATCGCTAATGCGCAGATCGAGTTCTGTAGTGAACAGAAAAAGCTGATACCATAATGCGCAGTCTAAAACCACACCTTGGTTGCGCACATCAGAACAAAACATGTATAAACTTCAAAAAGTGCAATAACTCCAAAATTAAATGAATTACCAAGCATGTGACCATATAACTAATAGATATGTTCTGTTAAGATGATTGTTAGTGGTTCAGAGGGAAAGTACAGGTATGAGCTTTCAGAACTGGGAGAAAGGTCACTTGAGGCCAACAAGTGGAATTAGTGAATGGAGAAAGGGGGTGCTGAATAACCTAAGCTGTTTGTTTTTCTGCTTTTTCAGTATATATTGTGGAATATGCAGTTTAGCAACTACATGCAGAATTAATGTACATTGAGGAGATCAGTGGGAGCAATCAGACATTCTGTTTGTTAGTTTGACGTTTGGACATTGTCAGGTGCAGTTCATCTCAGTGATACCTTTTCTCTTTCTTATGGAGGGGAAAGAAAAAAGCTGTTAATGCAGTACTGGAGTTGAAATTTCAAGTACACAAAGCCTCCATATGAGAGATGCTCACAGCAGAGTTTTGGGACAACTGGCTGATCTCTGTAAAAGTAGAAGGAAGAGAGTGTGCCCTAGTATGTACTGCAGGTCAGGTACTCTCCATCCAACTTAGTTAATGGATAAGTCAAATATTTTAATACTCAGGAGTTTCATTTGAGCGGTCTTTCTATAAGGCATGCTCTCAACAAAAACTCATACATTCATTTTTTTTGAATGTTGATTTCTGACATTGGTTTTTATCCCTTTGTCATAGACACAGACATCTGTCAACACATCTGTAAACTAAGGCTGTGACTAAACTAGACTGGTGAACGTTAACTAGTATGTTAATGTTTTTAAACATTGTAATACTTAGCGTAGAAACAGTGGTGTTTAAAAATGTGTTGGTTTTGGTCAAACCTATTTTTAAAACGGAAACCCCTCATAGATATTTATATTGGTCTTGGCTTTTTCAGAAACTTGGGTTGATGTACCTAAACATCGTGTTTAAAATTGAACTGATATGTTTCAGAATTAAAAGATGTCAGAGAATGCCAGAAGATACCTTAATCTATACCTTTCCACTTCATTTAATTTTGGCACTAACTAGAGATGATGCCGACTTCTGGGATATCTCTGTTGAATGACCAGTGTGACAGTAATTTCCACAACCTGGAAAAGGGAAACCTGGGGGAATTAATCCAGTATGAGAACTGTATATAATGTCTGTTTAAAGTTCACTGTGGCACTTGACTTCTGATCTAAACATATTTCTGTTCTTTTAAAAAAAGAACAAATACTGAATTTTAAAGGGATGATTTTGAACTGATTTATATAGAGACCAGGCACTGCCTGATGTAAATCACCCCAAGCTATGTTTTCCTAAACTTCTTGTGCTTTTTGAAAGAGTAATGTTTAGTTTTGAGACACTGATCTGGTATATTTCCAAATATCTTCTTTAGATCCTGAGGTCAGCTCTGAGGAATCAGCCTCTACTGGAGAAGAGCAAGAGAATGAAACTCCACCTGCTACATCCAGTGAGACTGAGCAGCCAAAAGAACCTGAGACTGAGGGAAAGGGAGAAACAAAGTCTTCTGAAGAGGCCAAAAAGGAGTAAGACCTTTTGCATTGGAAGTGCCTGAAATTGGGGAATGGCCATAGAGGAAGTGGGGTCCAGTCTCCTTTGAAGATGGGATTGTAGGAAAGAGTCGGAATAATTTTTTTTAAAGGGTCTCAATTCCACCTCCCCTGCCCTGCCTCCTGTGCAGACTGAGAATAGTAGCCAAGATGCAGCTGCTGTTCTACAGTAAGTTATAAATCTTGATCTAGTTTTGAGGCTGGAACAAATTCCTGTGGTTCATCCAATAGATAATTTTTCCCCCAGGAAGTGGCCTGCATTTTTTTTATAAGCCAAGATGTTCATGCAGATGCACTGAACACATTCTCCTATAGGGGTTCTGCATATCCCTGCTTTTTGGATGTGTACACACCTGTCCACTGAAGAGAATCTCTTTTTAGGAAAGTTCCTGTCTCCACAACTATCTA